GAGGCCAACGGTGTAGACGAAGGTGTCTTTGCCCCCACACACGAAATCCACTCCCTGCAAAACACCATACGAGCATATATTTATCTAGCTAGCTAGCTAGCCAGCTAGCTAGCTAGATAGATATATAGCTAGCTAGTTAGCTAGCTAGCTAGCTAGCTAGCCATCACTCTAGCTAGCCACAGCTAGCTAGCCAGGTAGCTAGCTAGCCAGCTAGCTAGCTAGCTAGCTACAGAGCCCTCTAACTAGCTAGGTAGCTCTCTAGCTAGCCATTCCTCTAGCTATCTAGCTATCTAGCTAGCCATCTATCTAAATATATAGCTAGCTAGCTATCTAGCTAGCTAGAAAAGGAACAAAGGACATCTGATTAGCATCAGCAAAAACAACAACAAACAACCACCACCACCACCAGCACCAGCACCACCACGGCCACCACCACCACCAGCACCAGCACCACCACCACCACCATCAGCAGCAGCAGCAGCAGCAGCAGCAGCAGCAGCAGGAGCAGCAGCAGCATACCTGTGTGAGGTTAGTGTTATCGTTCTCTATCCATGTGCCCGTATTGGTTTTTCCTGCATTAACTAACGTCGTTGGCTGCGACGATTGCTGCGGAGATATAAGCAAAGCTACAGAACCATCTGCAACACAAAACAAAATAAATATAGTAACTACTGCTGCTGCTGCTGCTGCTGCTGCTGCTGCTGCTGCTGATGGTGGTGTTGATGGTGACTGGGGTGGGGGTGGTGGTGATGGTGGGGGTGGTGATTGTTGTGGTGGTGTTGTTGTTGTTGTTGCTGAAAAAGCAGCAGCAGCAGGAGCACCACCAGCAGCAGCAGGAGCAGCAGCAGCAGCAGCAGCAGGAGCAGCAGCAGCAGCAGCAGCAGCAGGAGACTGACTGGCTGTGAACCAGACGTTGCTGATGTAGTTGACTTGGGAGATGCTCAGATAGGGCTTCACTGCGGCGCTAGAAAATACCTTCCCGCTAGCAGACAACGCTGCTCGCAGCAGCAGCAGCAGCAGCAGCAGCAGCAGCAGCAGCAGCAGCAGCAGCAGCAGCAGCAGCAGCAGCAGTAGCAGCAGCAGCAGCAGCAGCAGCAGGGGGGATAGTAGCAGGAATAGTTGAAGCAGTAATAGGAGCAGCAGTGATAGGTGCAGCAGCAGCAATTGATGCAGCAGCAGCAGCAGCAGCAGCAACCAGAGTAGCAACAGCAGCAGCAGCAACAGGATCAACAGCAGCAGCAGCAATGGCAACAACAACAACAGTTGTAGCAACGGCAGCAGCAGCAAGAACAACAACAGCAGCACCAATAACAACAGCAACACCACCACCAACAGCAGCAGCAGCAGCAGCAGCATCAGCAGCATCAGCAGCAGCAGCAGAACCACAATCACCACACCACTACAACCACCACCCGCACCACC